AGGGGCGCCGTTGCGGATGCGCATCGTCTCGGTGGAGTCGACGAGGCGCTGGATCCGCTCGCTCGATGTGGTGATGCTCTCTGTCCTGCGACCAACCTGCTTGGCCGTTGCAGCCGCGGCACCCCTCCGTGTTGCGCCCTCTTTGATGCGGAGGTGGCCTCCGCCCTGCGTTCGTCCTGCGCTGCCCTCGATGCCGCGTTCTGCCTCGTGCTGCGCCCTCCTTGATGCGGCGGTGCCCTCTGCCCCGCGGTCGTCCCGCGTTGCCCTCGAAGCCGCGGTCTCCCTCGGTGCTGCGTCTCTCTCAGTTCTGTGTGTCCGTCGCCTCATCATGGCTCGCGCTGCCGCGAGCGCGGCCGCGGACGCCGCCGGCGCTATCCCGGCCTAGACGTAGCGGTCCGCTGGGAACTGCGTCGCCAAAGGCTCTGGATCGCTGCCAATCCCCTTGACTCAAATGACTCTGTGCTGTTGACTACCGCCACTTTCTCGACGTCGATCCCATGCCGCCACCGGTTGTGTAGCTGTCGTGTGACCTGCGTCGATTCTCCGTGCTTTGAGCGACATCGGTCTTATGAACGCGGCCGGTGTCAGCACTTCTCGGTGCGGCGTCCCTCACGTTGCCCTGCCGCCCTGGATGTCCTGTTGCCCGACGCGGCCGGTGGGAATGGGTCTCGATGCGGCGTCACTCACATTACCTTGTCGCCCTAGATGTTCTGACGGCACACCGCCGCCCTCTTGCCCGCCCGTGCCGGCTCGTTGCGATGGAGTCCATATCAGGGCCGATGAGGATGACGAGGCCGCCAGAAGGCCGGTCGGCGGCTTGAGAGGAGAGCGGCGGAAGGCCGAGAGTGCTAGCCAGTCGAAGCGGTAGAAGTCGTCACCTGGAAGGGCTGCGACACAGGCAAGAGGAACCGGAAACAGAGCGCGGTCAATGAGAGATCGTTAGACAGAGCCAGATGTTGAGATCAGCGGACGAGTCCGGTGGACTGGTCACGACAAACAGCAATGGAGCGGACTGCTGGATCTTTGCCTCTGCCTCGACGTGCTGCGGCGCTGGCGTGGTCAGAGCGGTGTCCGCTCTTCGCGGGACGAGGCGATGGTGTGACGTACGACATCTAGCGATGGGCAGCGGCCTGGGGCGGCCCTCAAGACTTGCAGGGCGACGTGCTGGGGCAATGGCGTGTGCTCTCAGAGGGATGAGGTGGTCCATTCGGAAGGTGCAAGGAGCCAGAAAGAGTCGGATAGCGGCGAGCGAGTGAGCAAGCGAGCAAGAGCAGGACAGGTCTGCAACCGTGATGCTGGTGCAGCCCAGTCGAGGTACTCACAGTAGGGCCAAGAAACGGCGCATCGACGGACCAGACGAAAAGAGGGCGAAGGAGAGGCGAAAGACGCATCAAGCGAGAGCGGATGTGGTGTTGGCGGTAGTGGTGGCGGTGGTGGTGATCAAAGCGGTGGCTGGGGTGAGGCAATGGTGGGTTGGAAAATGCACGCGCGGCGGGGCCCAAGCGCGGACAGAGCCCAGCCTTCAGGAAAAAAAAAAAAAAATTAAAACTCAAAAATACGGAAATTAAATCACTCGCCAGGGGCCTCTTCAAGCGCACCGCACCGGGGGTCCCAGCGGGGCGTAGGCCAGCTCTCCGTCGCTGTAGGTGGCAATGCGATGGACTGAGAGGGGGGCAGCCTCGCCCGGTGGCCGTGATTCTCGGTATCGCAGGTGGGTTGTCGCTGGTGGGACTCTGGCGGCCGGCCGAGAAAGAGGGCCGAGCCGGTCAGAGAGAGGCGAGCCGCTGGGAGTGTCTGCCGCCAGCCAGCCGGCCATCAAGCCAGCCGGCCAGTCAGTCGGCCAGCCTCGAGCGCCACGGATGCGGAAACAATGGTCGGTCCCGAGCCTTTGGTCTGCCGGCCGGGAGCAGGGCGTGGCTCCCTGGCCCGCCAGTCACGGATCCGCCCAGCTTCGGGATCATCGAGCCCGGCTCCCGACCGCAGCAGAGAGCTCCTCTGGAGGGTCTTTGCAGGCCGTCTAGAGGGTCTCGGCCGTGAAAGCCTTCTGGAGGGTCTCGGCCGTGAGAATTTGCATCGTCGCCGTTTCTTCGCTTCCGAGGGCAGATGGGGCAGATGGGGCAGACCGGCAAGCCAGGCAGCCGGGCGACAGGGCAGCAGGGCAGCAGGGCAGCCGGCCCTGGCCCGTCCCAGCGCGACGCGGCGTGCAAGCGGATCCGATCGGTCGAGGCGGTGCTACGGCCCTGTGTTGTCCGTCGGCTCTCGTCCGAGTGCGAGAGGAAGCCTGGGCCCGTTGGCGCCATAGACCGGCCAGGCCACTCATGCGCTGCCCTCCTTGCTTCGGGCAAGGCGTGAGAACCATGCATGGGGCTACGTGGCTTGAGCAGTCTGCCTGCACAGCTGCAGCGCCGCTGTTGCTCGAGTTTTTGCTGTGCCGTGCTCCGCCGTATCGTGCCCGTCCTTTTTCTCGCAAGGGGTCCTCTCCAGGTCTTACCTTGCGCCTACCGGGGGGGTTTTTTTTTCTTGCTCTCCAGGTGGTGCCGTGCCCATCCTTTCGGCCTGGGCTTCAGAGCGGCCGACGAACGAGGGAGCAGTGCTGGGTCAAGGGCGGAGGATGAAGTGTGAAAGAAGGGGAGGGACCATCCAGGCTCGGCCAGCAGCAGCCCCCAAACGGCCTGTATATATGTCGAGCTGGCTGCGCACAGGAACAGGTGGCTGTGCTGGAGCAGCGGCAGCAGCAGCAAGGCCGGAGCACGGTCAAGAAGAAGTGAGCAGTGGCAGGAGAGGGGTGCACGCACGTACGGCTCTCACGAGCATTCTGGAGCCCTGGGGGCCGTGGTGGTACCAGCTGGCTGAGGCTGCCCGTGCCGGGCCGAGTCGCGCAGCGGTACTTTGGCACGGGCGTCTGACCCAGCATGACCCCGGGACCAGGCGTGAAAGCAGCGTCGCGATCGTGATCCGTTCAAGGCATCACTGGTGCTGCGCAGCGCGATGGTGCACAAAGGGGGGTGATGCGGCTGGACGGCGATGCTAGAGAGGGTAATCCAAGGGAAAGGGAGGCGCCGCTCCGCCCAGAGCACAGCACACGAGGAGGACCAGGGCGAGACCGAGGCAGGCAGAGAGCGAGGGCCTGTCTGGTTGCCTGGTGCCAGTATCCTCGACGCGACGACCACGACGGCTTTCACGGCCGATTGTGCCAGGTCGGGGCAGGGCAGGGAGTGAGGCCGTCTGCCTGCCTGCTGGCTGGTTGGTTGGCCTGCCTGATCAGGTCGGGGCACTCGGGGCATGCGCACGATCGGTTGTATCGCTGTACGCCCACCGCTGCACGGAGTCCGCTGCATGGTTGCACGAGGGACACGAGGGCGCGCGCAAGCGCTCGCGGCTTCTCCGCCTCGGCTGAGACCAATTCCCGGGGCGGCTACGTAGCTGTGGTACATCCGCCCGTCGCGTCCCACCCAGGGTTCCCGCTGCCACGCGGCATGCCCTCGCCTGTGCCTTGGCGTGGCCGTCTGTCCCGAAACCGAAGTCTCTCCCGGTTTCCGCTCCGGTCGGGACGCGTCGAGGACTCGCGTCGTGTTCCAAGGTGCACTGCCGCTGCCCTGCCTGCTTCCCTGCTTCCCTGCCCGCTGCCAACTGCCCTCGCCCAGGTCGCGCAGGCCGCCTAACCCTCGATAATCCGACCGCCCAGGCTGCCCCTCCCTCGACACTCACGATCCGCCCCGGTCCCGATTAGGAATATACAGAGACCACCCGAATCCGCGTGTATTCGCTGTCCGAGCTCTTCGCAACGCCCCCTGTTTCACAGTGGAAGGTAGCCGCCTCAGGCACACAAATGCAGCGTGGCTGTAGCCGCCGATCGAGGAGCTGACGAGGAAGGTCGAGCAGGCGCTCGAGTCAGAGCGGAAGGTGGCCGCCGCTCGACGACGTGGAAGGAAGAGAGGGCCTTCCAAGGCGAAGCTGGCAGAGCAGCAGGCCTCGAGGAGGTGACGTGGAAGGTCGAGCAAGCGCTCGAGTCAGAGCGAAAAGTAGCTGCCGCGACGGCGTGGAAGGAAGAGCTGGTCTTCCTCCCTCGAGTGCCCTGCCCTCCTTCGAGCAGCATAGCAGCGTCCGCTCCAAGGCAGCCAGAGAGAGCCCCCCAGACCCACCGCGTCTGCCCTGTGTGCCCTGGTGCGTGCCCGTCCTCCAGCGCCGCTGGGCCTGCTCTGCTGGGCAAAATCCCCCTCGCTCCCCAGCAAAAGACAGCCTGCTCCAGCGACGACTGACTCCCCTCGAAAGGCTTAAAAGGGGCCCTCCAAACCGTTTTCCCTCTTCCCCTCAATCCACCACAATCATCAGCTATCTCCGGCTCCTACCAAACTATCCTCCCTCGACGACTCTCCTCCGGCCAGCCTCTCCTTCCCCAGCCCGACCCACCTTCGCCTTCTCTTCGGTCGGGCCCCAGCCCCGCCTCCCCGGACCGACCTCCCTTCTCAGCGTCCGACCCAGCCTCGTCGACCACCGCGCACCAACGCGCCGACGCTTGCGCTTCGAGCTCTCAGCTACCGACGCTTGGCCTATTGTCTCGTGAGTATCCTTCGCCGTGGCCATCTGCTCCCGTCCATGCCGGCTCGCTCGTCGCTCCCAGTGTCGCTCACCCCTCTGCCCTCGTTGCCTACCCTCGTCTCTGCGTGCAGCCGCCCGGGATCTCATCAAGCCTCGAGCATCGTCGGTCGCCCTCTTCCTCGTACAGTGAGCATCAGTCCACAGCCTCCGCCGCCGGTCGCCTTCAGTCTCGCTCACGCTTCTGCTGCTCGTCCTCTTCCGCCTGCAGTCACGCCTCAAGCCGTCTACTTTCGCTCCGCCGCAAGCTCCTTCGAAGCGCCGCAAGCCCTGTCACTCCCGTACGTCGCCCTTCACAGTCGTTCGTCATCGTCGGCTCCAGTCAGTATCGCTTACCTCGGCCGCCTTGCTCTGCATTCCTTCTCGCTCAACAGACACCCGGACAGCCAGGCGACGCCACCACGATGCTCCCGCTGATCAAGTACTTCACCGGCCAGGGCGACGACACCGGCACCATGGCATCCCCCTCGGACAACGGCAGCCCCATGGACAGGCCCCTCGACATCCGCGGACGCCCCTTCCGCTACGAGACGCCCACCCCGGCCTTCCGACGCCGCCGATCTCGCTCGCCCGTCGCCACCAAGCGCCACTACGACGAGACGCCGCGCCACGACAGGCACGACTACCAACACAGCGGACAGGAGGGTCGCGTCATGACGCCCGGCCGCTCAGACTACGGCCGCGACAACAACGACAATGACGACACCCCCTGCCGCCACGTCGACCTCCCGTATGGTCACATGAACAGCCCCGGCGCCGCCTCCTGCCGAACCGACCGCACCGACGTCGCCATCTGGGGCATCCAGAAGCGCCTGGACCAGCAAGAGGCCGGCCAAGCTACGCTGGCCTCGAAGATCGACAGACAGTCAGCTGCCCTCGACATGATTCTCACCAGGCTCGACGCCCAGCCCGCGACCACGGCGCCTCCCCAGCAGCTCGATGGCAACGGGGCCATCAGCACAGCCATCGCCAGGTACACCTGGGTCCCTCGCGATGTCGTCGAGGCCATCGCCGACAACCGCTTCATTCCCGAGCAGCTCGCCATCCTCGTCAACCCCGCGTACCGCCCTCAGCATCACCCGGCGCGCAACGACCAGGGAGAGCGAGCCGACGAGCCCCTTTTCCAGGCTCTGAGCTGCATCGGCGCTCTCTGCGACTCGTGGTCGACCTACGTCGGCATTGTGCTCCTCGTCGGCAGCCGAGAGCAGCCGGACCTGGCCCCGGGCCTCCTTGCGCACCTCGAACACATCATCGTGTTCTCGAGCCTGTACGAGTGGCGCGGTGTGGTCGGCTACCACCTCGCTGTCTGCCGCCGTCGCCTGGGCACGGCGAGCGGCGCTGAATGGGCCGCCATCGACGCCGACTTCTCCAACACACACCTCCGTCCCATCGACCCGCGCAGCAACAACAACAACCCGGCCCAGCGCGACGCGCAGCGCGCCCGCCCGAAGGTGTGCAAGAACTTCAACCTCAACCGCTGCGCAGGCCAACGCTGCGGGCGCTCTCACAAGTGCCTCGCTTGCAATGGCAGGCACCCGGTCTTCCGCTGCCACGGTCTCAGGCTCGAGGATGCCTAGGCGCGCCGCGGGACATCAAGACGCTCCCGGATCGATCAAACACAGTGAGTATAGCGATATGCTCGCCACGTCTGAGGAGGCACCTAGCGGCGTCGCTGGCCCCACAATTAGCTGTCTCATGGCCTGGCCAGCCCATAGTTGCGCCCCCGTCACCTCTGCAGGCATGCAGAGGCGTTGCCTTCTTGCAAGCATGCAAAGGCCTAGCCATCATCCGCATTTCCTGACAACAAATCCACTCCTCGTCGCTCCTCTTTCTTTCGCCACCTTGCAGGTCTTTTCCCAACCAGCCGACGGACAGAGAACACAGTGAGTATAGCTACCTTATGCTCACCAGGTAACGTCGGCACCCCGCAGTGTCGCTGTTGGCCCAGCCGACCTGCCACCCAGCCTGGCCAGCTTATAATTGCGCCCCCGTAGCCTCTGCAAGCGTGCAGAGGCGTCGCCTTTTGCAAGCGTGCAAGGCGTTGCCGGTTATACGCTTTTCCCTGACAAAAAATCTACTCGTCGCTCCTCTTTCTTCAGCCACCTCCCAGGTCTTCTTTCTCAAGTCGAGCTGGCCCGGGACCGATCCAGAATACAGTGAGTATAGCTATCCCTATGCTCACCAGGTAACGTCGGCACCCCGCAGAGTCGCTGTTGGCCCAGCCGACCTGCCACCCAGCCTGGCCAGCTCCCAATTGCGCCCCCGTAGCCTCTGCAAGCGTGCAGAGGCGTCGCCTTTTGCAAGCGTGCAAGGCGTTGCCGGTTATACGCTTTCCCCTGACAAAGAAACCGCTCTCCTTTCCTCCTTCTTTCGCCTCCCCCAGACGACAGACACGAGAACAGCACAAGCGCGACGCGTCGCTACCACCTACATACAAGAGCCGCACGCGCCATACATAGCAAGAACTAGCATCGACGCGCCGAGACCATAATACGACCCTCAAACAACCAAGACTCGAATCGAGGCGGCGCCGGACGGTCGAGGATCCAAAAAGCAGCGAGCCCCACCCCGCTTCGCTCCATACCCCCTCGTCGCGCCGTTTTCCCCTTAGTCTAGCAGCCTCCTGTCCCGAGTATCGGCCGAGCCCCTCCGCATCGTCTTTGTATGTTGTACACGACCTAGCTACCGAGCCACCGAGCTCATCCACCAAAACCCGACAAAAAATTCCAAAATCCCCAACCAGTCGAGACTGTCTGTGTGCGCCGACGGCCCGTGAGATCGCCTGTGCCGAGCACTTCTGCTCCTCCAGACTGGCTGGAGAGGAAATGAGCCGGCTGGCTGGCCGTCGGGCAGGCAATAGAGCAGAGCCGATTCCGAAGCGGCGTGCGAAGGGACTCGCGAGGACCTGTAACAATCAAAGCAGTAAAAACGTGGCTCGTGGCGGTACCTACCAAGTCGACCCTGGCAGGCACCTTGGCGGTCGTCCCGCAATGAGTACCGTGGCAGGATCTTGGAGAGCTTGCCAAGTTGACCTTGGCTGAGCCTGCCTGCCAGTACAATCTTGGCAGCCGTCCTCTAATGTCCGCTTGGGCGGGCTGCTCTGCAGATGCTCAAGTACCATCAATTGCAAGACCACTGCGATGCTTCTACAGCTACAATACGCACTACTTAGCCACTTCAAGAAGCAACGACTCAAAAGCAGAGTAACAGCGTGTGCCAGCCTGAATGGTGCAGAGCAATGCAGGGAGGACTATCAGCAGCCGCAACCAGTCAGTGGGGGGATCGCGTTCCGAGGGCCAAAACCACATGCCATTGATAAAATACAGGTGCTGCAGGGAAAGACAAGATGGTGGGGAGAAGGGAACGGAGCAAAGTAGGTCAAGGTGGGTTTATATCCCCTGACCCCAAGCCTCTGAGCCTCGTTGGTCATCTGTCAGGATTACCGCCTGCACAGCCACAAAGTGCCCAGCCGAGCGTGCTTTCCTGATGACCCACCGAAGTTGCACCGAAGGGTCATCGGAACCGCCGACGATGTTGGCAGCTGTCTTGGCGGGATGCCAGCCTCCTCTTGGCGGGTACTACCGCCAAGGAGGCGTCAAGATGCGGTTGGGCGGCACCTTGGCGGCAGAGCAGCCAAGGCGGGGCTAGAATACCGCCAAGGTGCCTTCACGGACGTCTTGGTACCACCACCTAGGAACCATATTTCTATTGCTTTGAATACGAATTGCAGGGCCGTTCGTTCGGCGGACAGGCGAGATGATCCGGTGCGACGAGGACGAGGACGAACACGAGGACGAGGGGGATGAACGGGGGAGCGAGAAGCCCAGATGGGGGAAAGCGACGACGGACGGTATCTGGGCGACGGCCATCTAGGCCAGCCTCGCCCGCTGCGCGGAGGCGTCCCAGTCGCCGAAGTAGTCGGAGGGCACAGCCGCCCAGCTCCTCCCCGCGACCTTCTTTGTCGGCTGCAGATCCCCGAGCGATAGCGCCGCGGGTGCGCCGAGCGGCTCGCCGCCGACATCCGAGTCCGGTGTGATGGCCATGTCGTCGTCGCCGACGGGACGGGCCGCGCCCTTCCTGGCACCTTCGCGCGCCTGTGCAACAATGGCGTTGAAGCGGAGCTGTCGAGGCGTGCAGTCGCCCTCGCTCTCGGACGACGACGACGCCTCCCGCTCCAGGCCCCTGCCCACCTGGCTCATCTGGCTAAGGCGAGACTCGGCCGCCTGCCGACGGCTGTACGCCATGATGCTGGCCAGCGTCGATGATGGCGGTACGGCACCTTTGCCGACCGTGCTGCCGACCGGGCCCGGCCCGGCGCTGATCGAGCGCTTCCAGGCGTACGCGGCGGGCTTGTACGACGGTCCTCCGCACTCGAGCTTCGAGAACTGCGAGCCGGAGCTGACGGTCGGGTCGTCGCTGTGCGGGCTTGGCGAGAAGGAGGACGTCGAGGCGTGCACCGTCTCGGCCCGGCGCGGGGGCTCCTTGACGACGTCGGCGGCGACGATCGAGTCTGTGCGTGGTGCTGCCCTTGTCGCCTTGGAGGGCGTTGCTGGAACCGTCCTTGACCCGTCCGACTGCCGAGGAGGCTCGTGACCCACCGCCTTGCGGGCTGACGAGGCGGCAGAGGCGGCAGGCGACGAAGCGCTGATGGCACCCGACATGGCGGCGGAGAGCATCCGCGCGCCCGTGTAGTCTAGCTGGTGGTCGACGAGCGGCCAAAAGCGCTGTTGCTCCGGCTGAAAGGTAGACACCGCCGGCGCGTCGCGAAGGTTGACGCTGGGGCATCGCCACCCCACTGGAGCGGTCTCGGTGGCCGAGAGCAGGCTGAGCTGAGGCAGTGGGTCGTCGCGTCCATCGTCGGTGGCGCCGACCGCGCTGCTCGGGACCAGACTCGGCCCGGGCTGCTGGGCGAGGCCGTGGTGATGGCCGTCTGCAGCATCTGGAGGGGCGAAGCGGAAGCGGTCGTTGTAGGCGCTGGCGGTGGTGAGCGAGGAGCGCCGCTTGATCTGCTGCCAGCGAGAGTGGTGGGAGCGCTCGACGACCTCTTCGAGGGTGATGCACGACTCGGACGATGCGCGGCGGCACTGCAGGGGGCGTTTGCCCCAGTCGGGCATGGACTCGCGCATGGCCGCCTCGTCTTCTTCGCACCGGATCTCTTCGGATAGCCTGTCGAGTGCGCGCTTGGTGAGCTTTGAGGAACCCGCAGTGGCCTGAGCGGGGAGGTCGATGCGTCTGGCGGCCTTCTTTGCCACAGTCAGCAGTCGCTGGCGGCAGCGCTTGGCGCGGTCGCTCCGGTCGGATGTCGAGTCCGGAGCCTTGCGCTTGCCCGCGAGGACCTCGGAAGTGCCGACGAGGGGAGGCGGCTTCGTTCCGTAGAGGCGACCGAGGTGCGATGTCGAGGAGGCGGATCGGTTCAGCTCGGCCCGCGATGGACCCCGAGGGGCAGGCGGGACGCCTCCGAGCTCGTCGCTCCACGGGAGTGCCGAGGTGACGTTGCACGGCGTATGCGGTTGCTGGTGCAGAGGTGGCGGGGTGGCGAGGGCCTTGAAGCGGTGCTGCTTGCCGTCGGAAGAGCCGCTGGTGGCGCGGTGGTCGAGCGAGGGGCGGAGGGCCCGACGGAGGAAGCAGGCTGTCTCCTTGGCCGGTCGGCTAGCGTGGCCAGGTTGCATGCCGGTGCCAGGACCGCTTCCGTGCTCGCCGCTGTTGCCCACGCTGTCGCTGGCGCTGGTGCTGGTGCTGGGGCTGGGGCTGGGGCTACGGCCGTGGCTGGAGCTGTGGGATGTCTTCTCTGGCCGGTTGGCCTGCTGAGCCGCCGGAACGCTGAGGCTGGGCGGTTGGTGCATGGCTGGTGGCCGTGCTGCTGGCGTGAAGCTGGGGCAGGGGAGAGCGTCGGCAGGTCGAGCAGTCGATGGTAAGCGGCAAGCGTTGGATAGGGTGGGTTCGAAGATGGCAGCTGGGGATGCGGGCGGGGTTGGTGGTTGGGACGGTAGAGAGGCAAGTCGGCGAGTGTCGAGAGAGGGCGAGATGGAGCGCAGTGGAAAAGAGTGCGTGAGGGCGAGAGCGAGAGGACGAGAGGACGAGAGGACGAGAAGACGAGAGGAAGAGAGGGATAGAGAAGGACGACGAGGTCGGGCTCCTCGCCCTCCGCCCGGTGGCGATCCCGAAGGCGAAGGCGTAGGCAGGCGTAGGGGCGCTGCGGGCTGCTACACAAGGTAGGTGGGCAGCCCAAGCTGGGATGCCGCTGCGCTGATGCTCGTGGGCCTGCTGCCCTGCACTGCGCTGCCCCGCCTCCTGCGCTGCCCTGGGCCTGGCCCCCTCGTTATGCACGCGGCGCAAATTAGAGTTGCCTCGCTGCCGAATGAGCACGGCGACCACCCGACCCATCCACCCAGCCGGCGCACCCGCCACACCTCTTGCCTTTTTGTTTGGCGCTGCGTGGCCCCCCGGATCTCTAGCGTGCCTAGCCCGCCACCACTCGATCCCGAGCGTACCTGGATGCGACCTGCCTGCTCGCGCTGGTGCAACGTCAGCAGGCTGTCGTAGGTACATACCAGAGGCCCTAGCCCGGCGAGGCCTCATCGCCTGCTCGCTGCGTCGAGCTCGACGAGAGCGGGTGACGCTGGCCAGAGGGGGCCGTCGGCCAAGCCCGATGAAGGCGACGGGACCGGATGACGTGAATCGCCTGCCCTGCCCGGCCTTGCCTCTCCCTCTGCCTGCTGGTTCGGATGGACGCGCAGGTCAGGTCAGGGTTCTCTTTTGGGTGTGCACGGAAATCGGCGATGGCCCTGGAGCCCGCTCTGCCACCCGCCAACCGCCGCCCCGACCACCACCACCGCCGCCTGCCCGCCCGCCCGGCCGCCCGCCCGCTCCCCTCCCGACCTCCCGGGAGCGACAGCAGCGGCAACATGGCCCTGTCCCGGTCGAGCCTCGCCGACCACAGAGATCGCCGCACAACGGGCCACGCCATCGCAGCCTTGCCACTGTCTTTGACCCAGCGCTCAAAGATGGTCTGTCCTGGCCCGCTCTTAGCCGCACGCCATCCTCGGCTCCGCGGAAGTCGACCGTCCTCCATACACGAGATCGGATGAAAGGTAGGGATGTCCTGCAAAACTGGAGTCCGAGGTCTAGAGTGGGCTGATATCGCACCGCTGCCCTCGCTTCCTTTGTGGATCGGTAACTGTACGCTTTCAGGTTGCCCGCCATTCCGCGCAAGATCGCCTGCCTGCTTGGCCAGTGTGAGTGCCTGACAATGGCGTCGGGGGTCATCGATCCACCCTCTGCGGGACGAAGAGCCGGATGCACAGCAGAGCAGCCGCCGCCATTGAGCATGCTCCTACAGGCCGCTGCTGTTGCTTCCTCTTGAGCGAGCAGCAGGTTGTTCCAGCCGCATCGGAGGACAGCAGCCAGAGATAGAGCCGAGCAGGGTCTAGAACCATCCGCCAGCGGCAACGCAACCTCGTCGTACGTTGCAGCCGGTCGACCTCGATGATCGACGATGAATACCGCCGAGG